ATCGTTTAAATCTCTTTTCTAAAGTAGCACTTAAGAATTTTAAAAGTATTTCTGAAAAACAAAAAGATCTTGAGTCAAAAGTCCAAAGTTGTCAAGAGAAGCTTGAATCCTGTGAAGAGTTATTAAGAAAAACTCAGAGTGAAACCAGAAAAAGCTTTCAACAAATCTCAACTGAGATCCATCAATCTAAACCACTCACAAAAAGAGAAGTCCTGAGCCTTGTTCAAGAAATAGCTGAGCAACCAAAATTAGTTGAGAAAGAAGCCCTCAGACTAACAGAAGAACTCAATCATAAAACCCAGAAGGTTGAAAATCTTCTTCACGAAGTCAAGATGTCAAATAAAGTACATTCAAAGATGTCAAATCACCCAATGATGAAAAAAATTGAAAACTTATATGCTGAAAAATCAAGATATACAAGTTTGGACATGAGTCATACGATTGTGTAGCAAAGAAAAAGAAAATCAGTGAAGCATACCATTTAATCCAGACAACGTGAGGTTCAACTTCTGAATGCTCTCATCAGCATTGCAAACTACTCATGGCCAAGAAGTGCATGAGGACGATGTACTAGAATTCATAGGGACGGGAAGGCATGAAGAAACCAAAGGAGTTTTCAGAGATTTGAAGACTTGCTTTCCATTTGAGAAGCTTCTTAAGGAGAGCAGCCAATGCTTTTCTTATATGGAAAGCAAACCTTCAAACCATCAACAACTCCTTGGCTTCTTCATGGCTTCCTCCAAAGAAGAATAAGCAAAAGCAAAATCTTGTACATAAGAGAGTGTAATGATCATTGGTAGAGCTAGACAGAAAAGTAAAAAGATTGATGAAGAACAGGTTATTTGTTTTACAATGTTTCTTTAAATGGTGGTTTGTGTCCCCTAATTTATACTTGAGTTATCATTTTCTCCTGTTTTATATATTCATTTTTCTACAAGGTAGTTTTGACCAATGTCATATTTTTTTCCACAAGAAGTTTCTTTTACTGAAGAAATCAATATCATATTTTTCCACCTAATGTGTACACCTTGAAAGTTTGAATTGTATTCATCATGACAATCTAGAAAAAGTTAATGGTTAATAAAGATATTAATATAGTTTATTATATAAAAAAGCACAATGGTATCATATGTTAATGATGGATTTAACAGTGCGGTATTAGTATAACTTTAATGGATTTGCTCGACATTATTGTTTTTGTTTTTCAATTAATCTTGATAAACAATACTAATTTCTAAAAAGACTGGAATTCAACTTCATTAGTAGAAAAACTTACGACTATAAAAGTTAGTTGATATGAGTGTTGTTAAAGGCTGCTTTATTGCTCTTTACTACCGTTTAAAATAGTTAAAGTATAAAACCTAATAAAAAAAAACTCTTAATCTCATTACATTAAAAGCAACCAACGTGACGTGTTGAAATTCACTATATTCTTCAAACCAAAGAATATGTTATTTCCATAGAATTGTCCATTTTGTCGTTGAACTTTTTTTTTTCAAACCCACTAAAAAACCTGAAACCCACGCTCAAGCTCCTTCCATGATAACACCCACACACAATTTTCTGAGTGTGCATATATATCATTATCCTTTGACAAAGAAAACACCCGATGGATGGACGTTGTTCTTCCATAAACTAAGATACTAATTAGATGGGTTCTTTATTATAACTAATTAATTCAAAATAATATAATAGTTGGCTAGCTGCGATTTCAAAATAATAAAATGATCTAAAATATGGAATTTTTAAATACGGACACTATATCTAGTTTTAGATGGTGCAAATTGTAAAAATGACCCATGTATATGATTATACATGATTTTCTTTGGTTATATCCTACAATTAATACTTATGTAAAATCTTTTTTTATGATCGTGGTTTTGGCATTCTCATTAACACTGTATTAAATTATTGTGAATTGACTAGTTTACCATTAATAGTTTAATACTAGGCTTTTATTTTTGTTATTATTGTTATAGGGTTTAGTGGGGCCCACGGCCCACCACACCTTCAATTGGATGCTTTTTTCAGTTTATTAGGTTAATTGATTCGGGTTAATGGAGTGTAAAGTGGTCGCATAACCCGCCCGCAAACCAAACCACATAAGGGTGAACGAAGTGGTAATCGCTTTGAAGGAAATTAGGGGAAGTATAGGGGTACCTCCAAGATGACCACTCCTACTGAAAGTTGGCATCACACAAAGGAAGAATAGTGGGTTACATAACCCGATTCATTGTCTCCCTCTCTCTAGATTCTCTATCTACTCTTTCATGCTTTGAACTTGTTCTTCATGCATAAATACTTGTACTTTGTATGTTTTTAATTGAGTGAGTTGATAATGATAACATTTTCATGTGTTGTGGATTGAAAAAGATGAAAGAGAGAAGAGAAAGAAAAACTAATGTAACACTGAGTTTAGTGGTTGGGAGGAAAACACTTTTTCCACCTAAGATGGGGCTTTGTTGATTAAAATTGGGTGCGATTTTATATTTTGGTTTGTTTAACAACGTAATAGTAATTTTTTTTAAAAAAAATTGTTGGTCAGTTTTTAATGATTGAAATAAGGATTTTTCAACAAATTAATAAGTATTCAACTAGTAGAATGTTAAAAGACTTTACTATTAATTATTTAATATGTTTTATTACATATAATACATTTTTTAAAATTAATATTAGTTTATTCGGATAAAACTAGAATGATACAAAGAAGATTTGCATTACCCATGCGCAAAGAGGCATGCACAAATCGAACTATGGTAAAAAAAAACCCTTTAAACCGAGCATTGAACCTCTAAACTTAATAAATATATGGTTTCAACCAACCACTGAACCCGACCACAATAACATGAACCAATGAACCAATTAACGTGATTAAGTTTTTGGACGGTTTTGTCATTTAAATTAAATAATGCAGATGTGTAGCCTTTTCTCATTCCTCTTTCTTGTTTCCCCACGAGACATAAATGTTCCATCAACTAATGTCAATCATAACCTTAATTTATGATCACACTTGATTTTTTTTTTTTTTTACATCTTACAAAGTTAGGTTTTTATTTTTACGGTGGAAAAACCAGATATATCAAAATTTATATGTTTTAAAAATAGACATCTCACAACTATATCGGTATATAAAGCCTTTTTTTTGTTAAATATTTTAGCTTGTAGACATTCATAATATCAGTCTAAATTATATTTATATAAATGATCATTAATATCAACATTTGAACTTTACATATGAATTCAAATAGATATCTACATTTGCATGTGTACTTTTTAATTTTAACCAAGTTTTGATGAATGAAGCTTGTGGTCTTAAATGTGATTGGAGTTATAAAGACTATATACATCTCTTATCCATAAATATGAAGAAACTTTACAGATGAGGGAAAAATAAAAGTATAAATAATGGCTTTGTTGCCTCTCTCATTAATGTCTTTATACAACAATTGATGACCCTAACGTAGGGTGCAAGATAATAACAACTAGCTAGATAAATACAAATATGATAATAATGATAATGACTAATAGTCTCCCACAGTCTTAGTAGGAGGTCCTCGAATGTTAAGACTGTCTCGAAAACCATCAAACAGAAGGCGATGTAATCCTTTGGTGAAGATGTCTGCAATTTGGTACCGATAAGGCACATAAAGTACTCGAACATCACCGCAAGCAACTTTTTCTCTGACGAAGTGGATATCTATTTCTACGTGTTTTGTACGTTGATGTTGAATCAGATTGTCCGAAAAATAAATGACAGTAACATTGTCGCAATATACGATGGTGGTTATGGTGAGCGGACAATGAATTTCAACTAGAAATTTTGTAACCAACAAGACTCATATACAAACAAGGTGGGTAGTTCCAAGGAGACAGGTTCCAATCCCAAGGGGGAGGGGGGATAAACCCAATGTTGCTGTGGGTTGGGTTTGTGGCGACCTCTAGTTATCATTTATTACTCTATTTGTAGGGTGGAAGATAATGACAACCAACTAAATAAATACAAAGCTAGATCAATACAAATAGGGTAATAATGATAATGACTAATAGAAAATATATTAGAAAATAGAGTATATTACACGAATGATCCCCATGGTTTGGGATATTTTGCGTGTTTGGTCCCTAACTTATTTTTTTAACTCGGAAGGTCCCTACTTTTTGCTTTTGTTACACGCTTGGTCCTTACTGTTTGTTTCTGTTATGCGTTTGGTCTCTGTTTTACCTAAAAAGACTATTATTTAAATAGAGAAAAATGGTGGTGTAGGTACGGTAAGGTGAGGGGAGTGGGATTGGGGGTGTGTTTATTTAAATAAATTAAAAAATTAAGGGAAAAATAATCATTTTAGGTAAGAAATAGACCAAGCGCGTAACAGAAACAAAAAGTAGGGGCCTTCCGAGTTAAAAAAATAAGTTAGGGACCAAATGCGCAAATTATCCTAAACCATAGGGACCATTCGTGTAATTTACTCTAGAAAATATATGGTCATAATTTGGTAACATGGACATGAACAGATGGCAAAATAAAAGGAATATGTAAATGAAAGTTAAACTTCTAAAGATGATAATTTTGGAATGATGATGATTATACTGATGGTAAGAAATAAACTTGAACAATAATGCAAATAGGTGTAATGAACTTAGAGATGACAATTGATGACATGACATAACAAAACACAGGACACGAAATGAAATTGGGAATGAACTTATGAACTTATGATAAGTAGGATGCCTTATTAGGCAAAGTGAGAATGATGAGGATTGAAGGTCAAATTCTTGACGAGATAAATTTATGGTACGAAACAAGGTTTAATTAGCATAAGAAGGTTTTAGGCATTAAAGAGTAAATACCATATTTTCAGTTCAGAAACCACACGACAAAACATGTAATTTACTCTAAAGAAAATCAACACGTTAAGTGGAGTGTGAGTCAACAAAAAGTTGACCCTGTGCTCTTCACGTGCTCATATCATCGACTTATCATGTGACTTCTCCAGTCCCCTCCCTTCCCTTCCTCTTCCCCCCAATCATAACCACTCTCTCTCCACCTGTATTTCCCCCCTCACTAAAATAAGCTTCATCACACGCTCCATCAACCCCCAAAACTTCCCACACTTCTTCATCTCTAGGGTTTTCATGCATTACAACCAACACATAGTATTTCCTTTGAAATTTATGTGAAGAAATCATCAGAAATGGGCTGTTTTCAGTCCAAAACTGCCAATGTTCAATCTCCTGACCAAGTTCCTGAATCCAAACCAGATCCAGGTACCTCATCACCTTATACTCCTCTTGCTTCACAAAAACAGCTATCCTTTTAGCTTGTTATGTCGAACTTTGTGTTTATCAATGTAAAATCTTTCTTTTTAGTTTAAGGACACCAGTACACCACCATTATTCTGTTTGTTGTACTTTTAATGAAATACCCAAGTCTTCGAAGTTGACAGTTCAGTGTAACTCGACTTTTTGGCATTGGAGTACGATTCTGTATTTCGATTTTGATAATTTGTTGTTGATTGGTTTGATATTACGAATTGATGAAACAAAAGGTGACGGGGAGCAAGGATTAGGTCAACAGGATCAAGAGCAAGTCGTTCCTGCATTCAAGGAGTTCGAACTTACGGAGCTTCGAGCTGCTACGAATGGGTTCAGCAGTGAGCTTATAGTTTCCGAAAGTGGTGAGAAAGCTCCCAATGTGGTTTATAGAGGAAAGCTTCGTAGCAATAAAGTCGTTGCCATTAAGCGCTTCTCCAAGCTCTCTTGGCCAGACCCCCAACAATTTGTGGTATGTATCATCCACACGCACCTGCATCTATGTTTTTGGGGTTGTTTTTTTGGATTTAATTTTCAATTTCAGTGTTTTTCCTTAAATTTGTACAAGAATATGGTACACATAGTAGTGGTTGACGACTTGACGTGCAATAAACCCTTGTACGTGACCTATTGTTACGAATTTAAAGAAAAGCTTTTTAGGAAAGTGATATGATGATTTATTTTCTGTTGCTTTTCTGGTTGAAAGAAAAAGTCATCAAGTTAGATTTACTTAAAAAGAGGCTACTTAAAGGAATTTGGTAGCTTTTTGTAAGGGCAACCCTTTCTAACTAACATCTAAAAGTAAACTAAAATACTAAATGAAACTTTTTTTTTTTTTTTCTTAATTTGCATTTTGTTCCCTAAAAACTGCATTTTGCTTATGACTTTGACTAAAAAATGTAGCTTTATCAAACATTAATCCTGAATTTATGATTGTTGTTTTTAGCAAAGAGTGAGTTCTTGTGATGTTTTGGATCTTTATGGGAAAAGTGCTTTAAAACTTATTAGTTTGAAATATCTAAGCTTCTTAAAGATTATTTTGACTGAAATACCCCTCTCCAATGTTTCAATGAAGTCGCTCTGAAGCTTGTTAGTTGACAAAAAAATTGAAAAATGGTTTTCACACTCCGATTTCTTTTTTTGGGGGGAAATGTAATTTTCCAAATTTACCCCTTATGTTATTCTCAATGGACATTTTTTTATAGGCAGAAGCTGCTGGAGTTGGCAAGGTTAGGCATAATAGATTGGTGAATCTAATTGGGTGTTGTGCTGAGGGCGATGAGCGTCTTTTAGTGGCTGAATACATGCCTAATGATACTCTCTCAAAACATCTATTTCACTGTATGAATTCCAAGCCATCCTTGATTTTCTATGCTAGCAAACTATTTAGACTCATCCAGATGTAAAAACTGTTTAACCATTTATTATTGGTATATAGGGGATAAGCAGCCTTTGCCATGGGAAATGCGTGTTAGAGTTGCCTACCATATTGCACAAGCACTTGAGCATTGCAATGCGGAAAATCGGAAAATTTATCATGATCTGAATGCTTATCGGGTGATTTTCGATGAGGTACATTTTTAATCACAACTTTAGATCTCAGCTAAATTTATATAAAGTTAAGGTAACAATAAATCAGTAGCGTTTTAATGATGTTAGTATTCATATTATGTTTTCTCATTAATGAAGTATTAGTTTGTTTCCTTATATGATGAGCTAAGTGAGTTAGGTAAGCGTACATGTGCATCTCTTTAGGTCTAAATATTAGTGTAAATGTAGTCAATGTGAGGCTTCACCAACCTAAACATGTTTCCAATACCTAGTTTGAGTATGCTCTATGAGTGAATTTCTTGATTAACTGTTTTGCAAGACTATGATTGATCTTATGTATAGCCGGTTGATATGTTGGATATTAATTCTCCAACTCAAGGAGTACTAAGCAAATATGAGTATATGACCCAGCAAATTGATTGCAAAAGGTACATACTTTCATTCAATTTCCATTATTAGGAACATAACTTCAACAACTCTTTTGGGATCAATAGTTTCATAAACATGTATTTTAGCACCTAATTGATTAGTTGGATGTAGAATTGCACATGGATGGACCCGACCCAAGCTTAAAAAAATCTGGTCCGGTCATAGCTCGGGCAATGTCAACTCAAATTATACATTATACACAAGTTGAATACTCGATTATAAATTACTTAAATAATTATTGAAAATAAGCAAAAGAAGATAAAAAGAGTTTAAAATTCGAAAAATGGGTTATATAAATATAATTGAGGAAAAAGACAAAAATATATGAAATTTAGATGCAATTAATTATCATCATTACTATTATTGTATTTGTTATTAGGGTTAATTTCACAAAAGCTATTATATTTTCAACCTTTTACTCAAATAACCATACTTTATTTATTTTTTCGTTAAAGCCATTGATATTTTGAAAATTTTGTAGTTTAGCCGTTGCCATTTTAAATTTTTCGCAATTTAGTCATTCTTGAGGCTCCATTTCTTACTATGGAGGCTTTCTTTTTTGATAGGACTCAATGTCAATAATCTTCTCTTCTTCTCTTGAGCATATGCCGTTATTTTAGCCTATGTATAATATAAACAATCATATTAGTTGATAATCAAACCAAATTACTCTGAATGCAAAGAAAAGTGCATTTCTTTTTATACATTTAGTTTCATACCTAAGGTTATTTCTTGTTATTTCATTTTATAATAGTCCAAATTGTAACTTTTTGAAACATAATTGGCTTTTTCTGAAAAAGTAAAGAAATCAATGCCTTTTTTTTTAATAAAAAGTTGAAAATAAGGCTAAAGGGGGTGATAATGTTTTTGCCTTCCAAAAAAGTGTGCCACATAGTCGTCACATAAGCATTTTGCCATTTTTGCCACAATTCGCCTATGAGTGGGGTGTGGTGATGTTTTTGCTAACCTACTTTTTTTTTAAATGTAAAATTTACTATTAAAACAAAAAAACATAAATATTAATTAAAATAAAATAATATTTCATTAAAATTAAAAACATCACATTTAATTTAAGAAACATAAAACAAAATTTAAAATAACTATAACGTAGAAATGATAATCCAAATAACATAAAAGCTTTCGGTCTGAATATTCGTCGATATCATTGTCGAGTGGCTCATTAAAATCAATTTGATTAATTCGATATATATATATATATATATATATATATATATATATATATATATATATGTTCCGCCAAATTGCTACGAAGCTCGTGATGTTTTTGACTGTTATGTATTGCCCTTCTTCTTACACGCCATAAGGAACCAACCGATATTGGCACGCATGAGGATACATTTTCATTTCTTGATACCGACAAAATCGATCTGCCCTCGTCTTCTAAAATCATATTATGTAAAATGATACACATGTGATTGCACAACAGCCTGATTAACGGTTAGCAACAACTTACAATTTACTAATGGATTTGCCATTTTTTGAGAGTGGTTGTAAAAAAAGTTTGGAAGAAAATGTATATAAAGATGTGTATTGTTTAGGTGAATGATTGGTATATATATATATATATATATATATATATATATATATATATATATAGTGGTAGTAAATTAAAAAAAAACATTAAATGGCATTTAACTCCAACGGCTAGAAACAACCACCAGTCCACCACCACCGTCTCTTTTTTTAACGGAAGAAGGTTGCTATTGGCATGCTGCTAGCGAAAAACCCATCAGGGACGGTGTTTGCCGCCAACCATAAATGCCTCGTTGGTATACCGACTACGATTTCATCATGACACCGTGCAGTCTAATAGAGGAAGTAAAGAGTAGAATGAAGCATCTCTCGTATGAGCTATTTGAAAATAGTTTATAATATTCAACTTTAAGAGTTTAATGAAGTTTAACCATCTTAAAAGTGTGTAAATTTGGTCCTAAAGTTTAAATACAAATTTGTTTAAATGCAAAGAAGTAACAATTAATTTCAAAATCAGTAGTTAAGTATAGACATAACATCAACGATGTCTTCTAAAAGTCCAAGCCCTTTTATGATTCTATCCTCAACCTTCCACTCTAAGCTAACTAAGTTGCAAGTACATGTCAAAATATAAGTGTTAGGCTTGGAAAGTCTAGTGAGTATACTGATGTTAACTATTCGATTGTAAAGGATGAGTGCTATCATCCAATCCTAAAGTTAAACCCCACAAAATAGTTTTCTAAATCATTAATGATCAGTAGGATCATATTTGAGAACGGCAATATTTCAAAGGAATATCTTAGACAAAAATAACAATTCATAAAAATGCATCAACAATAGGAAATATGCAATGCATACGCAACTACCCCCAAACCCAAGTCATTTTGATAATCCTAACTCACCAAAAATGGCTAGAAAACCTAAACAAGGTTAGGACATCTATTAAACTCATATAGTGGAGTCAAAATTTGAATTCACCATAGTTAGGGTTTGAAAGTTCAAAATGACACTCAAGCTCCCAATCAAGCAATATGCGAGTAGTTTGAGCGTAGGGTGATGAATAGATTGTGGAAATAAAGCTAAAAACCCATTTATAATCTCCTATTAACAATAATTTCGGATTTGGGGACAATCCCCAAACCCTAGGTCAATTTATGAACAATAAGGAAGAACTATACCTTCTAATTTTCCAATGAAGTGATTCTAGCTTTTCTCCGGTTACACCTTAGTTTCACTTCTAGCTCTTCTCTTATCACAAAATCGTCATTCTCTTCCTCTCTAGTTCTCTCTAATTGTTTGTGTTAAAGTGAAAGGAGGTAAAGAGAGATATTTTCTTCTTTATAATTTGCAAATTAAACCCTTAACTTTCTTTTATTTTCCTTTTGACCACAACTAGACTTTATCCAGGGCGGAGCTAGCTTGGAGCCAGCCGTGCTACCCCTTGGATTTGTTCAGGAACAAGACTCTATTTGGATGCTGTCGATTTCTATATAAGGTGCTACACCTAGATAAGTGAGGAATTTGGAGAAATTGACATCCATCAGATTTTGGAAATTGGTGAAGCTGGCAACCATCTGCGGTTTAAATCAGCCGAATGGTATGAATTGCTTTCTTTTATTATCTTGTCTCTATAATCTCCATACCCTGTTTAATTTCATTTGAATAAGCTTGCTTCTTCTCAAATAAATACATAACTTTATATGTACATCAACTGTTTGATGAAATGTCTGAATGAGCAATTTGGTGTTAGAATAATGTTTGTGAGGAAATTAATGAACGACATCAAGAATCCAGTCATATTGTTACCGGTTTATCTTTATATGTTGTTACTCAGTTTGTGGTTCCAGATGCTACTTTTGGAATGTACCTCTTATCTTTAAATAAAGGCAGACCCAATATGCAAAGGAGATAGGTTCAGAAAATAAGCCAGGAAGTAAGCTACAAGAAGTTAAGCTTGAAGGATCAAATGAGATAGCCGGGAAGAATGAGAATAGTGGTGTAGTTTTAAAGGAAACAAAGCGGTATCAAGAAAAACATTCAGGATCAAAATGAAGTTGAAAGAGAAAAACATTAGTAATGAAAATGAAAACCATTGTAAAGTCAAAAAGGATGCTCTGAAATTAAGTAACAAGAAGTTGAAGCTTGAAGGGTCAAATGACATAACAGTCTCAAATGAGTTGTTACTTAATTTCAGAGCATCCTTTTTGACTTTACAATGGTTTTCATTTTCATTACTAATGTTTTTCTCTTTCAACTTCACTTTGATCATGAATGCTTTTCTTACCCCTTTGTTTCCTTTAAAACTGCACCACTATTCCCATTCTTCCTAGCTATCTCATCTGACCCTTAAAGCTTCAACTTCTTGTAGCTTACTTTTTGGCTTAATTGCACCAGTAATTCCACTTCTTTTGGCTTATTTTCTGAAACTATCCCCTTTGCATCCATGGGTCTATGGGTCTGCCTTTAACCGAAGGTAAGAGGTACATTCCAAAAATAGCATCATGAGACTGGAACCACAAACTGAGTAACAACATATGAAGATAAACCAGTAACAATATGATTGGATTCTTGATGTCGTTTGTTAATCTCCTCACAAATATTATTCCAACACCGATATGCTCCTTCAGACATTTCATCAAACAATTGATATACATATAAAGTTTCGTATTTTTTTGAGAAGAAGCAAGCTTATTCAAATGAAAGTAAACATAGTATGAAGATTACAGAGACATAAGATAATAAAAGAAAACAATTCATACCGTTAGACTGATTTAAGCCGCAAATGGATGCCATCTTCACCAATTTCTCCAAAAGCTGATGGATGCCAATTTCTCCAAATTCCTTAACTACTCATCCAGGTGTAGCATCTTATATAGAAATCTACAACATCCAAATAAAGTCTTGTTCTTGAACAAATGTGACAGGCTACCCCTGGCTCCTATAGCTAGTTCCGTCTCATCCAGGTGTAGCATCTTATATAGAAATCTACAACATCCAAATAAAGTCTTGTTCTTGAACAAATGTGACAGGCTACCCCTGGCTCCTATAGCTAGTTCCGTCCATGTGAATTCAGTACATTAGTACATAAAGATTGAACTTTATTTTTATGATTAATTATATAATTTAATATATAACATGATATTATAAATATTAATTATTACAATCAATACAACCAGTTTAAAATAAATGTATAAACTTAAAATGATAGGGACTAAAATTGATAACCAAACGACCATTTCATTTTGGGTCAAATGAATAGTATTACTCCATACAACTCATTTACACCAAAATTGAGTGAAAAATGGCATGGACTTGGAGAGGAATGGAGTTAGACTTAGACCTGGTGTGGGAATTGGGAAATAGGATTTGGAGTGGGGTTTGTGATGCCCTAAGATTAATCACTTGGATAGTATTGTCTATCAAATTGCTTTCTTAAAAGATTACTGACTTTTACTACAATATTTCATCATAAGTCCTTCAGTCAACTCTTAACAAAGTTTATCATATTGTGTAATAATAATAAGTAATAACTTAATTTAGTTAAAATTGGTTATTATGCTTAAAGTTTGTTAAGATCAATGTTATCAAGTCTATACCTTAAAAAACCTACAATTCAGTAGCTCAGTACTAAATTGTGTGTTTTTGAAAATGTAGACCCCAAAAATGTTGATTTTGACAGTTTGTTCCACCAAATTGTAACAAAATGAAAGTCCATACCTTTTGTATGCTATTTGTCTTATATGATATTGGTATTGGTTATATATATCTAAAGCTCCTGGAGCATAAACATTAAACATACCCATTACCCAACCCTAAGGAGGGTGATATACATACAAAATATTAGTATATACTCCCATTTCTTATAACATTATTTTGGTCCATTTATTGACCTCTGATAGAGAATGTGCTATGGGTCTTATATAAATATATGGGTAAACATGGGGGACTTAATTGTAATATCTATAGCATAAATAGAGTAGTGATAGGAGTAGTGAGGTATTGAGTATTTTGTAGCTTTGAGTATCGGCTTTAGCTTGGGCAGGAGGTTTCTCTTGAGAGAACTTCTCTGATTAGGGCAGGAGGACAATCATTTGGATTTCCTTTCTGATTTGTTCTTATTTCCATTTAGTAATCAAATAGCTACCTAGATCTATATATCTCATATTTTAGTTTCATTTATCTGTTATTGGATTCACGTTCTTATCAATTGGTTCCATTGCCGGGAAATCAAATCAACCATGGTTACACCGGAGTCTCAAACTGTTACTCAACTTGAAGCAAGGATGGATACGCATGATAAAAAACTTGAATCGTTATCAGATCAGTTAAGGGATCTTACCTCTTCAGTGAGATCGATGTGTGAGGCTCTTAATAACCTACCCAAATCACTCGAAAAAATGACGGAAGGCTTACATCGACCCACATGCAAGCATTTTACTCCAACTATGGGACAGAGACTTCATTCTTCAGGGGACAAGCGGACATAAGGATCGAACTGGCTTAGGTTACTCCGACCGACCACCTGTGAGACCACCTGTGAAAGCAATTGATCTCGCCCGACATGTTGCCACCGCCATCACCGCTCCGGGAGAACGTACAAGCGTGAATGGTAAGGTATCGAACTATACTTATGGCTCCAATTTCAATTCGCACTATGGCCCTCATGATTTGACCGAACAGTCAATTGGGCCTAATTCACAGACCACTGAAGCACTCCTGCCCAATACTGCGTATCTTCAATTACCACTAAAACCCTACAAATCGCCAAAATTGATTGTCATCCCTATTTGTAATGTCATTACTACGAGCCTGTTTAAACAAGAAGGGGAAGACGAGGATTCAAATTTGAAATGTAATTATTCAACTTTCTTGAAATCTATGACTTCGAATTCTGAGTGGGAAACCAAAACACAGCACCATGATCTTCACGATGAGGACTCTTGTCTCATCGTGAATTTAAAAGACGAATTACTTGTACCTGAAATCTCCCTGCGGTCTATTGATCGCTTAATCCAATTTTATAAACCCACGTGTAAGATAAAAGCATCAGATATATACCAAGAATTGGCTACCAGTAGTATTGAAAACTCTGGTTTGAACAACAAAATTCATGGAATTCTCTTTGAAAATCGATGCAAATCCCTCAAAATGGTTGAGACACTATTATATTTGGATTGTTTGAAGAAATGGGCATGTGTTACTGGTTATTCAAATCTTGTTTTCATGAAGGATGATACAACCAAAGCTTATGGAGACCTTGAAGCCAACAGTTGGACCCATCAGAAGATCTTATTGTTGCGAGAAGCTATGAAATTCTTCCATAAAGATAAGATAGAGATTGCTAAACGGAAATTAAACACCAGATTGAAGGGGGACAAGGTCATCCCTACAGTCATACTAAAATATGGAATTGGAGAGAAGGGAAAAACCGCATCTATTAATGAAGGTTCCATCCCTGCAAATGCTACACTACAAATAATATCATGGAGGGTCCCTACAGATATTACAGATGACAAGAAAGTCCTCCAGAAAAGCTTGGAAGAAGGGGCGGGATTCCAGCTCCCAAATGAAGGGGTTGTTTTTCAATTTAAGTTGGTAGATAAAGAGCAGGAAGTTGATAGGCTTGAAGAATTTGTGATGATGATGAAGAAAGGTGAAGTAGCTCTTCTGAGTATTGCACAAGAATATGCTTTTGGTTTTATCGGTTTCAAGCAAGAATTAGCAGTATTGCCGCCTAATGCCACTGGTACATATGAAATCGAGCTTGTCTCTTTTCTTAAGGACAAAGAATCCTGGGACATGAACACCACCAAAGAGAAGATTATAATTTTTGGCAAATATAAGAAAGAAGTGGAAGAATATCGAGCTATGCTCAAGCTTTTCATCTATTATACCTTAAAGGTTGCTATAAAGTGCAGAAAGCTGTCATCTTTTGGCCGGCCATCAATGACAGAAGTTGTGTTGATTGAATCCAATGAAAGAGAGGAAACTAGTTGTGTTGACAGCAAGGTAAAACAAAGGAAGCAATGGCTGATTCCATGGCAACAATGTCCAATCAAAGAAGCAAAAATGCCTTTCAAACAAAAAGTCAATTTCCTAACTCCTGGCTTGAGGACAAGCCTCTTCTTCAAGACGGTGGTATTGATAGAGAATGTGCTATGGGTCTTATATAAATATATGGGTAAACATGGGGGACTTAATTGTAATATCTATAGCATAAATAGAGTAGTGAGGTATTGAGTATTTTGTAGCTTTGAGTATCGGCTTTAGCTTGGGCAGGAGGTTTCTCTTGAGAGAACTTCTCTGATTAGGGCAGGAGGACAATAATTTGGATTTCCTTTCTGATTTGTTCTTATTTCCATTTAGTAATCAAATAGCTACCTAGATCTATATATCTCATATTTTAGTTTCATTTATCTGTTATTGGATTCACGTTCTTATCAACCTCATTAAAATCTGAGTTGCTTTTGTGCATCAGGATGGTGACCCCCGCTTATCTAGTTTTGGTTTAATGAAGAACAGTCGAGATGGGAAGAGCTATAGCACTAATCTGGCTTACACTCCTCCCGAGTTTTTGCGCACAGGTACACCTTAGAAAGATCGGAATGGAATCTGCTTTCCATCATAACTCCTCATTCCATTCCAGCATGGTATTTTGGTTTCAATAATATGTTAAGGATTATATTCTACCTATTCTATTTCAGGCAGGGTAATTCCAGAGAGTGTGATTTACAGTTACGGAACAGTCCTCCTGGACCTATTGAGCGGGAAACACATTCCTCCAAGCCATGTAATAACATACTTGTACACATCTCTTTTCTCAAAATTTCTAATTTTCTTGTTATGAAAGTTAAAAAAAAAAAACATTTTGTTTTCTTGATGATTTTCTACAGGCATTGGATTTAATACGTGGGAAAAACGTTTTATTGCTGATGGATTCATCTTTGGAGGGACAATATGCGGATGAAGATGCAACCGTGATGGTGGAACTTGCTTCAAAGTGTCTTCAATACGAGGGTAGAGATCGTCCTGATGTCAAATTCCTTCTTACAGCTGTCGCACCCCTTCAAAAGCAGAAAGAGGTGATTTCTGGTGATGACCATTAGAAGGGCATTTTTGTCTTTTTACAGCCCCACCTTTTTCACTAGGTCAAACGAATTGCAATTTTTGTCCCATGTTGTGTTCTGTTTTTTCTTGTCCTGAGCCTAAGGGGCTGTTTCTTTTTAACCTACTGAGCATTATAGGTTAAGCACTTAATCTGGATGGCTATTTCTTTTTGACTTAATTATTACCCTTTCAGCCACTTTTTACTCATACAGGACTTAATGGGAAACCCTCAAATTGTCTTTTTGGGTTTGTGTAGGTTGCATCACATGTCTTAATGGGTCTGACAAAAACACCTGTAATTGTTCCAACTTTACTTTCTCCTCTCGGGAAGGCATGTGCACGTATGGATCTTACTGCAGTACACGACATTCTCTTAAAAACCGGATATAGAGACGAAGAGGGCGCAGAAAACGAGGTTTTCATAAACTATTTTCCCCCTATAATCTGTCACATAACTGTTTTTACAATTGTACTTATTATCATCTTTATGAATTTAAGCTATCATTTCAAGAATGGACACAACAAGTGCAAGACATGCTAAACACAAAAAAGTTTGGAGATATCGCGTTTAGGGACAAAGACTTCAACGGTGCAGTTGAATACTATTCAAAGGTATTTTCTTTTCTTTATATAAATTGAACCTTAAATGAGCATTAATGTATTATACAAACGGATTTATATAACTTTTAAAATGCAGTTGGTTACGATGATGTCGGTGCCTTCGGGGACAATATTTGTGAGGCGGGCCCTGTCTTATTTGATGATTGGACAACCGGAATTGGCATTGAGGGATGCAATGCAAGCTCAGGTATGTTTGCCGGAATGGCCAACTGCCTTTTACATGCAGGCATTGGCTCTCTCGAAGCTCGGAATGGAAACAGATGCTCAAGATATGCTGAATGACGGCTCGTCCTTTGAGGCAAAGAGACAAAACAGCTGGCGGAATTAAGATTCCAAAGTTTCAGATTCTCCAAATGCTGTGATGGCCAAGGGTCGTGTGATGAGGTATCAGGTAATGTTTATTTGAAATTACTACCCACTTGTATGTCTGTCATAGACTACAGTTTTTTTATTTTATTTTATTATTATTATTTTAGTTTGTATAAATCACTTTTAAAATGCCTAAAAATTAGTATTTGAGTTATTGTTATTTACATGCCATTTGCTATAGCCTTATCTTGGAAGTTCTTAAAAGGGTGTGTTTGTTACATGGGACAATGTTGGACTGAACAAATTTTCTATGGCTTTTTTTTTTTTTTTTTTTGTGTGTAAATGGGATGGAGGGTATTTACGTCTTTTGTACAAACGGGATATCGAGAGTGATTTGTTTTCCCTCCCTTTTTTTGGGTGGGATAAAAATTGCAATTCTTGTCTCATTGATATGACTATCAGGTCCCAAAGAGTAGTAGTACAACCTGTTTTGTCATTGTTACATCTTGTCATGTCCTAACAAGAAGGTTATCTAGACCTTAAACTTTGAACCTAAAAGGTTCTTCATGCATTAAAGCACAGTAAACATATTTGATATTTGTAACTATCGTTTTGGTTCACATATAGTTTTTTATTTTATTTGACATTTTAGATCTTTGATTGAAAGTTAAAATTTTAAACTCAATTACGTGTCTAGTGGTTAGATGCAATGTTTTAAAAACCGGATTGAACCGCCGGTCGAACCCGTTGGATTGAGAACCGGAGAAGGAGCGGTTCAACTAGCACCGGTTTATGTCTATTTCTGAACCAGAATGAACCGGCCGGTTTTTACAAAAATCCGGTTGAATCGGTTAAATTAAATAGAAACGAACATTAGTGTTTTTTTTTTTTTTACATGTGTAGATTTTTTTGAATAAAAACACATGATAAATGTTATAAAGTTTTTTAATGCGTTTTTATTCATCTAAAACTATATTTTGTTCCTGTATTATACTTTAATTTATTTATGATGTATGTAGATTAATGTAAAATTTACGGTTATACTTACGGTTATGTGTTTCTAATATATTTGGATTGATTTTCAATTTGTATTTTTAATGGACAAAATTGCAAAAATAGTGCCTGTGGTATGTAATTTTTTGGGGTTTTAGTCCAAACCCCGAGTTTTTTGGATTCATAGTCATTTTGGAGTGGTTTGTATGTGGAAATGGTTCCTGGATTTAACTTCCGTTAAGTTGTTGCTGTTAACCCCCTCATGTGCCTCCCACATGAGGGTATATTTGTCTTTTCACTTCTAAGGGACCATTTTTGCAATTGAAAAAAATATATCCCCATTTAAAAAAAATTAATACCTATTTATTTATTTTAATAATTAAAAAATAAAAGATCTTTCTCTCCCCCTCTCTCTCTCTCTCTCTCTCTCTCTCTTACACACACACACACACAACACCTTCAAATTGGGGCAACCGTTCCTTCAAAGATCTTGCAAACCCCAATCCTCAAAAATTCAAATTCCAGTTTTAATCCAAATGGATTATCATCAGTCAATCAAGACTCAACAAAAGTCTGCCTACCAATCTGATCCATCAACCTCTGGTTTCCGGTCTTAGCCATTGCAGCACTCTGCATCGTAGCAACAACTTTCTTGCTCGTTTCCTACTACTTTTTCGTCACCAGAGGCTGCTTCAACCGACAACAAGTGAACCCATTAAGACGCTTTTCCATGTCCCGGGAACGATCCATACTCGACTCCTCCATGAAGCATCAGAATAGCAGTAAATGTCGTATTACCCCCAATTTTTCTTCTAAATCCTTTAAACCCAAAACTGAAATCCATCACACCTACCTTGAAACCCATGAAATTTCAACATCTGGGTCTTCCATGTCTGTAGTGGAGGACTACTCTCGAATGCTTAAGAGGTTGTACAGTACAAGTATTTGATTCTCTACACAATACATAATTTGTTCTTGTGCTATGTCACAACACAGGTTCGTATCCCATCTCTTTTGACAATTGAGGGTAGGTGTAGGGTTTCAATGTGCTATGTTACCTGGAAATTTATGTATCATTAGTTATCGCACAATAAGATTGGTCATCAATGTTGATTCATATAGAGAGAACTTACGATTTCATGAATCAAAGGCTTAAGAAACGGTACAAGGAAATAATGAGAAAAAAACGATGAAACGTTGTAATGTTTGGATTATCATCAGTTCCCCTGCCCTCATACACAACAAATCATACCATTCTTATTATAGGGACATATCTAAATCAAGCAACAATTTTTCATTTCATTGAGAAAACCTTCCAATTTCATCTAACTGTTACGCAAATAATGAGAAAAAAACTAACGATTTCAAAAAAAATTTCTAGGTATTTTTTTTGTTCTTGGTCTTTTTTTTTTCATCTGGGACTGAAATGTGTAGGTTGGAATTGAGAGAGAGAGAGAGAGAGAGAGAGAGAGAGAGAGAGAGAGAGAGAGAGAGAGAGAGAGAGAGAGAGAGAGATCTTTTATTTTTTAATTATTAAAATAAATAAATAGGTATTAATTTTTTTTTTAAATGGGGATATATTTTTTTCAATTGCAAAACTGGTCCCTTAGAAGTGGAAAGACAAATATACCCTCATGTGGGAGGCACATGAGGGGGTTAACAACAACAACTTAATGGAAGTTAAATCCAGGGACCATTTCCACATACAAACCACTCCAAAAGGAACATGAATCCAAAAAACTCGGGGTTTAGACTAAAACCCCAAAAAATTGCATACCACAGGGACCATTTTTGCAATTTTGTCTTTTTAATGTTTAAACTTGTGGATGTTTATGTGTGCATAGGAAAATAAAAAAAAAGATGAAAATTATAGAAACCGGTTGAAACGACTATTGAACCGGTTGAATCGAAAACCGATTATCATACCGGTTCAACTAAAAAACCGGTTTTTTAAACATTGGTTAGATTTCTTTTTGGACGCAATGAGTCGCCCCAAGAAAGTATAGCAATCTTGGTTTTTAGTTGCCTTGAAAGGAATGCATCTTATTAAGGGTGTGTTTGGCAAAAGTAGATAATTGAAGCGGGTAACGGGTAGCTGGTAGCGGGAAGTTGTAGCTTTTATTTGTTATATGAGTGTTTGGCAAAAATAGTTGAAAGCTTTTGAAATATATAAAATTACGTAAAAGGACAATTGATTAAAAATAAATAAATATACAAATATATTTTTAAGGTTAATTGTGGAAATTGATTTTCAAAAGCTCAGTAGTGTTTTGTTAAAAGCTACATGAAGTAACTTTTAAATTTGGAGCGTTTTGTTTAAACTAAAAGTTAAACGTTCGTACTGCCAAACGAAAATTTTAGTTTAAAATCGAGCGTTTTGTCAAAAGCTAAAAGCTAAAAACTCCTAAATGCTTCCAAAAGGTCTGTGCCAAACACGCCCTAAATATTCTAATTCATCTTTAGTTTATTTGTTTATTAACACTTGTTGCGATTTTTTTGTGAGATTTTCATTTTATATGGTGTCAATTGGAAGTACTCCTTTATCTAAATAAATATAACGTTTACATTGTTTTATAAAAACAAGTTCATGCCAAATTTTAAAATTGTCGCATTGTCAGTCTTTACATTGGCACTTCATTATAGATATGGTACGACCCGCTTTACTTAAAATTGCAAGTTTAGTCCAAAATATGAAGTTATTTTATACGGTTAAGGGACCATATTTATATTAAAAAAAAGCAACAACATTAAGAAAATTTGAGATTATGGACAGAACTTGTAACTTTGGGTAAAATATAAGGATTAAATTTGTAATTTACCCTAATAAAGTTTAGACCTAACCAAGCCAAATCATTAGGTTTGAGTTAATGAGTTTACACGTTTTTATTGGTTTTAGCAACCTGTTTCTTTAGTTTTTTTAGTGTTTATAATCCGAATTTATTTTCTAACTGTTTCATTGCAATGGTGGAGCTATTCCTTTTCAAACTTGAATTTAAATTGTCCCCAAGTCAGCATGCACGTTAACTTTGCTCCGAGAGTGCTACTAATCATTTTCCACCAAAAGTGGGCTTCTTCCGTAAGTAAATTTGTAGCGTATTCCACCTTATCCTCTTCTGGTTTGAAACGTGTTCTCGGCGTGTTAAGCAGGTCATAGTTATTACCGGGTGAATTTATAACCTAACTAATTTAACTAATATATGTACGTATAGACAGTGTACCTAGTCGGATTATAGAATAGCTTTGGTAAGTCGGGTGTCGAACACAGGGAACGAAATATAATTAATTAATATAACTACTTCTAATTAAGCTAGAAAACAAACTTAAATTGAGGGGTTTTTACTGATATCGCAAGATCAAAAGAACTTAAATTAAACTATCAAATTACCAACTAAGCAAGCAAATAAACACGAATTTACTTCAAGATTAAAGAGTACTTCTGTTCAGTTCCGATTTCACCTTCTCCTATGGTTGATTTCTAGTGGATGAAATATATTAATTACCAATTTGTTAACTACTATTATGATAAAATATCTATACATACCAATTCATGAATTACTATGCAATGATTAAGCACAAGTTAAATACCAGATCGATTATGAGCACAAATTGGACGATGAGTGATAGTAGTTACTTTCCTATGATCAAGTTAAGCAACCTAGCACAAATTAAGATTAATTATGCTCTCTAACACAATTAAAGTTACTAGCTTTAATTACTTTATCTTGAATGTGATTTATCCTAGCTCTAATTATTTAATTATCATAAACAATTAGGTTACAAGTTCATGCAATTAGAATGATCAACTATCACACAAAAGTTGATTATTAAGCAATAAAAACTAGAACTAAAACATGTTAGGGTTTTAATTATCAAACACAATTAAAATCAACATACATCATCCAATAATTGAAATCAACACATAAAGATTAGGTTCATTGGTGGTTGTCGAGGCCAACAAAATAAATACCCTAAATATTACACACTAAAACAGTGTATAGTGGTAAAGGGGTCGAATCTACGAAGATTGATTCAATTCGTTACTTCTATGAAAATCTTGTTGTACAAACACTTGTAAAACTAAAATAAAATAAAAATGGGGGATTTTGATCTTTTGAGATGTTTAAAAGAAAACTAAAATTACACTAAAATTTAAAAACACAATTCAACAAAAGCAAAGTTTGATGTAAAATCAATAAGATAAAGATGGCTGACTTTGGACTTTCATTACTTGAACATTTGGTTAAATAATCATGAGAATACCAAGGTGCAATACTTGT